TGACTTTCAAGGTCCTGGAGAACTTTGCTGGCTTCTGCTCAGAATCAAGTCCACTCTGACCTTTGCGTTATGTCATATTTATGGTTTGTTTTCTTAAAACTGAGTAGCCAGCCACCACAATAGCTTTATCAAACATTTATTTCTATGCACAAGAGCATGCTTGCAGAGCCACATAAGCTGGAGGTTTCTCCACCAAATCCACACCTGGGGGTCGCACCAGAAGTTTGTTTGCTGCAATTTGGACCTGAATTGCAATAATATCATGTGGGAGATTACAGGCGACAAGTTCGAGTCAATGCAGCTAACCCGCCCCCACATGTACTGGCTTCTAGTTGGCTATTCCTATGACAACAACCATGTGATGTGCAACACTAGTTCCGGTATGTATAGTTACGCACAGTAGATTCATGCAACATACATGTACCGTGATACATTAGCATACTTTGTGCAATGGTCTGAAGACAAGTTTACCCACATTTTTAATTCTGGATCTCTTTCCTACATTGCCAAGGCGATCAACATGTGAATCCATGACCAAAATGCTTTAAAGAAAATACCACCAGTGCATGCAAGCTAGCAAACGACCTTTCTTTTTGATGAATCAGGCAAGAACCGAGTACAACTGCTGAAGAAAGAGAGCGTGGGAAACTTAGATTTGTCAAAGGTGAAATCAAGGAAGGTGAGGAAGAAGAGCTCGCATAAACAGAGTATCACGGAATCGATCAGTGTGGAATCTGTGGATTAAATGTAGAAGAAGGGGGGGGGGGGGGGGGGTGTCTCTACAGAAGAGATGTGTGCCCAAGAGTGCCGGTTCTAAGTCTAAAAGGTCAGCCGGAGATGTCCTGTTGGGAAATCCCTAACAAAATAAGAAAATGTAAAAGAGAAAAGGACATATGGATACGAGTTAAGAGTAACTCTCCATCACTGTAACATGATACTATATACAGTCAGAAAGTGCAATAACTAGGCACAAAACTGACAGAGTACTGAGACATTCGACGTCCTGACACCTAACTTCAACACATCTCCTAAAATAAGAAAAAATAATAATAATAATAATAATAATGTCATAATTGTATTTCTAGCGTGCGTTCACAGCCCGTCGACCCTTAGGCGGACGTCATGCTTGATTATATAAAATTAAATTTTAATAATCCCTCAAACCCGTGAATAATATTATTATTAATTTCTTTACAACGGACAACAATGTCTCAGTAAAATATGCTAGAGCAGGAAAAAGCCAACTCCGCCCGTAGACTGTGGTGTTCTTAGCATTTCAGTTGGGGTGTTCAGGGCAGTACGGACAACACAAGTCACGACCACATCGAAAACTAGTTCGCTTGAAGACTGTTTAAAGTGTACACAAACAACAACAATAACTGAAAAAGTATGAAAAAACTCTCAAAAAGAAACTAATCAAAAAAGCCACGAGGGCCATCTACGAAAATGGAGGCATCGCAGTTCGCCCTCAAGGAAACAGCAACTATTGCAGCGAAGCGGTGAAAACTGCAAGAAAGCGAAAGCCATAGATCACCGCCCGGGACACAACAGTAAACGTCTGCACCAAAGAAGGCGCAGCATTGTACACACGTACACACATACAGCGCACAGACTCAGTGCAAGTGCACTGTACATTTGGCAAACAAAAAATTAATATAAAAGAAAATCAAGACAGTTCAAAGCAGGCCAGGGCAGGGAGTAGTCAAATACACTAGTCACTACTCCCTGGCTCAAAGCGCAAAAAGACATGTTCACGTCATGTTCAAGGAAATAATTAATTCAACGAAGAGAAAAGGAGAGTAGAGCTAACGTTAGAGGGGCTTAGAGAAGTACAAGAAGGAAGGAATGGAGAAGAGAAACGTTCTTGAGATGAAGAGTAGAGGGAAGAGCTGAGAGACAGATTGAAAAGAAGTTCTACAGAAGACATGAGAGAGAAGAAAGGTGAGAGAATAGACAGAACGAAAATAGCAAAGACAAAGTCCACAACAAATTCAAACCGTGGCAATGTCGATCTTGTTCACAAGTTCAACCTTCAGGCGGGAACACGGGGCGGGGCGTTCTTGGTCTGAATGATTTTCGGCGTATACCGGTACTATACACTACATATACTGAAAAAGTTGCTTCCGCCATTTCGTGGACTGGATAACAGGTTCTCGACCGTCAGCCCGGTTTCATCGGGCTACAATCTGTTCTGCTCACTATCAGCGTGCTGTTGGCGCTGCTGGCGGCGTTCGAGCCGTTGTCGTAGCCGTTCTTACCGTGTTGACAACTGGCCCAGATTGTACCCGTCGACAAACTTGAAGTTGTAACCGGGCACGCCGGAGAGATCGCCGTTCTTCCTCTGCAAGAACAGCTGGGTGCTTTCGGCGTCGCCATGCGACAGCGCCACATCCTGGTCGAACGCGGAGCGCAGGGTGCACGACATGTCGCTGTTGAACGTGGCAATCCAGGAATAGGCCGGCTGGCGAACCGCTGCCAGAGGTGTCATGGCGCCGGGATTAGTCGTCTTCAGGGGTAACAGGCCCACGCCGACAGTCAGCCCGTTGTTCTCATTCGTCGGCACTAGCGCCATATCGACCTACGGTGAAGGTATGATGGGGACGAACAACTACATGTCCTCGAGCATTGTGTCGGCCCATTTCGTCCAGGCCCCTTGCATTTGTAGGCCTTTCAGGTGTCGGAGCTGCTCCTGGCAATCGCCTTCTCTGATTGTATTCAAGATTTGTTTTCTTGGTTTTACCACGGGTGCCTTTGGTGTCACGAAACCCAGTCCGGCTCTGGGCGGTCGGGGAGCAGGCGTGTCCGATACGGCCGTTTCGGCACATTCCAATTCCACAACCGGCGAGAACCTACGGGTAAACGTCTGTTCTTGTTTTCTGTGATGCCAATACAGTTGAGCGATGTTGTGGTCTTTGCTGTGCTTGATAAATGTTGGTTTGCGTTGCGCAAACCGTAGTTAACCTACATGTCACAGAGCCGCATCTCCCGCATGGAGATGCCGTCCGCGGACACGCCAAAACCGGCTAAGTCTCATACGAGCTCCGCTAAAGTCGTACGCACTGCCGGGCTCCCGCGTGGGGCCCCACGCAAGCATTTGCAACCGATTAGTCGTCTTCAGGGGTAACAGGCCCACGCCGACAGTCAGCCCGTTGTTCTCATTCGTCGGCACTAGCGCCATATCGACCTACGGTGAAGGTATGATGGGGACGAACAACTACATGTCCTCGAGCATTGTGTCGGCCCATTTCGTCCAGGCCCCTTGCATTTGTGGGCCTTTCAGGTGTCGGAGCTGCTCCTGGCAATCGCCTTCTCTGATTGTATTCAAGATTTGTTTTCTTGGTTTTACCACGGGTGCCTTTGGTGTCACGAAACCCAGTCCGGCTCTGGGCGGTCGGGGAGCAGGCGTGTCCGATACGGCCGTTTCGGCACATTCCAATTCCACAACCGGCGAGAACCTACGGGTAAACGTCTGTTCTTGTTTTCTGTGATGCCAATACAGTTGAGCGATGTTGTGGTCTTTGCTGTGCTTGATAAATGTTGGTTTGCGTTGCGCAAACCGTAGTTAACCTACATGTCACAGAGCCGCATCTCCCGCATGGAGATGCCGTCCGCGGACACGCCAAAACCGGCTAAGTCTCATACGAGCTCCGCTAAAGTCGTACGCACTGCCGGGCTCCCGCGTGGGGCCCCACGCAAGCATTTGCAACCGCGACGCGCGTACGGCATGACGTATAAGCCACCTATCAGCTGCAGCCTTGGGTGCAAGCTCACCCAAGGCCACCCTCGCAAGGCAGGAACAAGTAAAGACATTCACCAGTTGTTTGTTGTGCCTGCCCGCCGCAGAAATTGTTTCCCACCCTCCCGCACCATTTAAAGGGAAACTGAACGCCAAAAATAAGTATGGCTTATCCGAAGGAGAATTGGGCACTGATTCCGATGAGCTATGTCTCGAGCCGATCAGAGAAGAGGAACTGTGTCAAATTTCATAAATAACACCTCCCATATTTGACCTTTGGCCTAATTGGCCTTGATGACGTGCGTACTGCTTAGCTGTCACCATGCTGTGCATGTTCAGCAGTGTAATTGAATGGAAGAAAACAATTACTTTGGTGTTTTGCAGCTCTGTTTCGTTCCCTGACGGTAACCAAATCTAGATGTAGGAATCTGTTGAGCAGGAGAGTGACACATGTCTTCCTGAAGGCTGTCCAGGCTGCAGTGGCGATGAAGAAGACACGATCATCACCCCGAGATCGATCGTAGCGAATTGGAAAACTCATGGTGAATTTGCTTCCACTCCAAGGCAATGTCGAGGTATGAAGGGTGCTTGTACTGCCTTCCAAAGTGAAGAGGAGATGAACATGGCTTTGCATAGCTGTTGTTCTATGCCAACTTACCTACTCTTGCTGGTACCGTAGTGGCATATTGCAAATTTCGTGGACGAACAACTCTAGTCACTAGTGGCTAGTGAGCAACACTAACAGGTGAGATTTTTCAATTCGACAAAAATTGTTTTTGTTTGAGAACTGACAGTGGCAGTCATTAGACTCAGTAGGTGTCTTTGCTGCTTCTTTCCCTTCATTGGTAGGGTTGTGCTTGAATAGTACAAGTGCTTGAAGTAAAATAAAATAAATAGAACATGTGGAACATAAATCTAATCAAGCATCAGTACATGTATTGTGAAGTTCAACTTCAAAGCACATGAAATCACAATGATCACGAAGTTTATGTAATCAGGAGTACACCCTGTGTTTAACGAACACATGCACACATGCTGTATTGCGCACACACATGTACACATGTGCGTGCACCCCCACCCCATCCCACAGACACACGCATGCAGCGCACACATCCATACACATGTGCGTGTACCCCCCCCCCCCCCACACACACACACACTCCTACCCATACACATGTGCGTGCCCCCCCCCCCCCCAACACACACGTGTGCACATACAGATACACAAACACACACGCACGAACACACACACACAAGATATGTGTAAGTGTACATGGTCTTCCTGGTGCAGATGCTGAGCCAGCACAATGGAAAATACCTCCATCAAGATGCTTGATCAAGTGTTGTGATAATGGCACTGTTTGTTTGTTTTTACAAAGAAGTGCGGGAAAGATTACAATGCATTATAATTCATAATTGTTCTTTGCCTTGTACTGTGCAGACCAGAATGCTTCGCTATCAACTCCTGGCTTTCCATCGGCATGGTGTTCAGCTGCAGCGGCATCTGGTCCGGGGAGTTCAAGTTGCTGGATGGCTGCACTGACACAGGATGGGTTTGCGTTGGCAATGCGATACGGCAGTCATCCCACATCACGAGCTACATGTTTATGTAATTTATATTGTCGCTCGTCCAGCAACGTCAAGGCTCTGCATGTAAACACAGGAGAACACCATAATACTACTCAGGGGATAATAATTTTGGATATAAATTTCGTGACAATTATTAGATTCACACAATATTCACAACGTATGCAACACGATGCTGTCTATTGACACTACTTCAAACTGAAGTGCTCCCTACTCCTCTCCCGTTTTCATCTCCCTCTACCTTATGAACACTCTGCATTACTGGTTTCGTTTCTACCCTTTCCATTGCTGCCAGCTCCCAGTCTTTTTCAATGCACAGCACCACCTTGACAGTCATTTTTGTGATTTGATGTACACATACTTTGAAGTTCAAATTCGAATTACATGATCAGATTTTCGTTCCACATTTTCTATTTATTTTTACTTCAAGCACAACCCTACCGATGAAGGGAAAGAAGCAGCAGAGAGACACCTACTGAGTCTAATGACTGCCACTGTCAGTTCTCAAACAAAAACAATTTTTGTCGAATTGAAAAATCTCACCTGTTAGTGTTGCTCACTAGCCACTAGTGACTAGAGTTGTTCGTCCACGAAATTTGCAATATGCCACTACGGTACCAGCAAGAGTAGGTAAGTTGGCATAGAACAACAGCTATGCAAAGCCATGTTCATCTCCTCTTCACTTTGGAAGGCAGTACAAGCACCCTTCATACCTCGACATTGCCTTGGAGTGGAAGCAAATTCACCATGAGTTTTCCAATTCGCTACGATCGATCTCGGGGTGATGATCGTGTCTTCTTCATCACCACTGCAGCCTGGACAGCCTTCGGGAAGACATGTGTCACTCTCCTGCTCAACAGATTCCTACATCTAGATTTGGTTACCGTCAGGGAACGACACAGAGCTGCAAAACACCAAAGTAATTGTTTTCTTCCATTCAATTACACTGCTGAACATGCACAGCATGGTGACAGCTAAGCAGTACGCACGTCATCAAGGCCAATTTCCAAATATGGGAGGTGTTATTTATGAAATTTGACACAGTTCCTCTTCTCTGATCGGCTCGAGACATAGCTCATCGGAATCAGTGCCCAATTCTCCGTCGGATAAGCCATACTTATTTTTGGCGTTCAGTTTCCCTTTAAAAGGCAGGAGGCACGGGTGCTGCCAATGGGCGCCGCAGAGTGCACGCACATCGGCACCATTGAACTATTCATGATGTGTACTAAGCAGGGAGTCGTCAAATACCGGGAGTGGAAACGAGATGCGCGAGCGTGATCCATGCTCGCCTCGCGCTGGATCATGGAGCACGCCGATTTTTTTCAAATAATCTTTTTTGTGCCACATTCACCAATTCCGCGGGATTTTCAAAATGTCAAAATTTATTTTGGTTCTTCCTGCAAGCGGAGCAGTTTAGACGTCTCCATACATAAACCTCGTCAGATTTCCGCTTCCCTTTTGTAGCACTCTTCGTCGTGGATTCGTCGGCAGTGCATGGTCATGCTGGACAGGGAGATATCGGTAGCCATTTTACGGCTGATGTTTTAGGAACTTGGGCGAGAGGTGAGTAAAACCAAGCTTTATCGAGTGAATACTTCTATCACTGAATAGCTTTGTTTTGGTTTGTTACACATGCATGCTGCATGTACGGAGCATTCGATTTATCAACCTGCAGTCAAGTACAGACCCAGGGAAGCTTCTCTTTTACTTGCCCAATGATCGTGCATAAAATTTTATGTGAAACTCGTAAAAAGAAATGCAATGGTAGATTTAAGAAACTATGTGATGGTCAGGAATCAGGATACACATGGCATTCTCTACCTGAATGAATACTTGTGACAATCTTAATATAGAATTACTGCGCTGTTTTCCGTGTGCGTTTTGTCCAGACCTGGAGACCACATCAGCTGTGTTTTCAAGTTTAATTTGCGGTACAGTAGTGGCAAGAAAGCCGTCCATCATGCCAGCATCATCCGCAGCAGCAACAGCAGCAGCACCCCAGCCCACCGCCATAGTCAACTGCACTGCAGAGACACCTAAAAGATACCATTGTGGTTGGTGTGTTGTTGCGGTGAGAAGAGAACTGGAAGCTAGCAGAAAGCCTGAGTTAACTAGCCTCAAGCCGGTGTTGGCGACTTTCGGCCATGAAATTCTGGCCAACATGTCTCCGAATCTACCAAACTTTGAAAAGATAATTGAATCTGAGACACATGAGCATCCACCGTGTGTGTGCATGCACAGTGTGGGCATGTCAGTATGTGTGTGTGTGTGCTGCCAAAGATGGCTCTCTCGTCGTGCCGATTGAATATGGTCCCTGACCTCTTGGCAGACTGCCGACTTTCTGCCGTCGCTTTCATGTTGTCGGCCCCGCAAGGGGACAGGTGACTGTAATGGCAGTGTTTACCAGGACCAGGTGTGTGTGTGTGTATGTGTGTGAATGTGCGTGCATGCGCAGTTCGTGCATGCCGTGTGTGTGCATGTGCAGTTTGTGCATGCCAGTGAGTGGGTGCGTGCATGTACGCATGCGTAACTGCTGACACCCAAAGTTGGCAAAGAGAAGCGAGACAGAAAGAGAGAGGGATTTAGAACAGTTTAATTCGGTGTGCATTGTCAATTCTGTGATACTCGCCACAATCGGCCAAATCTGTAATTGGATTCTCAGTGTTGGTGGTGCATATACGTTGTCATGCTTCCTCTTGACATGAGACATACTGAAAGCGGTGATGTTCTCTTACACTGAAGAAGAAAATAAGAGAAATTCCTTGGCTTTATAATAATGTGGTCGTCATTAAAAAACAATAATGTTTTAGAAACAAAGGGTCCCTCAAAAAGTCAGTGGCATATCATCTTACACCGAGAAAATTCACAGGTAGCACCTATATGGAAAGAACAATGGTTACGAGAAGTTTTTTCGTGGGTCGAACCAAGTGGCTTTGATTACTGAGGCTGAGCTATTTTCCTCGATAAATTACATAAAAAGTCACGTCACTATCCGCGCGTGAATCGGGCCTCCAGTCATACATCGCAACACTGCGATAACGCCTACCGATAAATTAGGTGTCCTCCTACTAGTAAACGAGCAGACCACTGCAAATATCTCTGTATACACGTTCTGATGGACGCTTTCTCCCAAAAAATACTCAAGGCTACATTTGACGACGCTGAGGTACTCAAGGCACTGCAAAAATTTTGCGCGAGGCGAGCATGGATAATCAAGATTAACGGCGTTTCCACTCCCGGTATTTGACGACTCCCTGGTACTAAGATTTAGTGTTCCGCTGCCATAGCAACCTAGTAGTACACGTAGCCGTTCCGACGGCGCAGGACCCCGCGGGTCGCTTCTGCTGTCCTTGCCTCTCTGATGCGTGATATCAAGAGTAGATAAACAAGAGTGTGCAACTCCGGATCTCTCCTGCACAATCTGCAGATACCCCGCGCCCACGGCGGAATTTTTTGTTTACGTCACCTTTTTTCAGAGAAACGCGGCTTTGCCGCAGAGCAGTGTGAGAGCACGTGCTGGGCACCGACCTTGTAGTGTAAAGCCCAGCCAAGTGCACGAGGGAAAACTCTCCAAAAGGCTCGCAGCGCGTGCGTCGTCGAAAAGATTACGTCAACAAAAAATTCCGCCGTGGGCCAACCCATGCGGAGTTGCACACTCTTGTTTATCTACTCTTGGTGATATGTGTACATCATTTATAATCATGACCTCATACTGAGTACATGTACGTCATACTTGATTACCGATCACAGGCTCATGATTATTCATGCTGGAATAAACGCTTGCGACACCCCACAGGCTCGTCTCTCTTGTGTGGCATGAGGGTTAATGTGCCTTTTAATAGTTTGCTGCTGTTTCCATAGTGTTGTGATACATGTGACAGGGGCGTCGGAAGGAGGTAGAAAGTGGTACGGCTCGACAGGGAAGTTCCCCCGGGAAATTAAAAAAAAAACACTCAAAATACCCCTCTCATGCATAGCTCAGTGCAGAGGGTCCCCAAAGGTACGAAGTCAACAAAGAGACCGACTAGATCTATGATTCATGACGCTGTCCCCGGGGAAATTTGCAATTCCGCGGCCGCGTTTTTTCCCCCTTTTTTGCGATTTTTTAAAAGACCGCGTTTTCCGCGATTTTCCCGCGTTTTTTGAACTTTTTTGTTGCACTACACGTACACACAGTGCACTGTTCGGTCAGCAACGTCTCATCGTGGCGGCTTTTTACTCAAATATGACGAGTGTTTACACCAGAGACTTGTAACTGATTGATTTCACTACATACTCACTGAAAATTGCCGCACATCAATATTATTCACCGCATATTTACCGCAAATTCACCGCAAATGATTATGCCGCGTTTTTCCCCGCATTTTTTGCGATTTTTTTCCGCAATTTTCCCCGGGGACAGATGACGCATACATGCCATGCAGTTCCGTAGTCGACAGTCTAGTCACGCGTTACACAGTGCAGTGACCTGACTGGTGCACCGGTGACGGATCGCGGCTCACGATCACGCGTGGTCATGTACAAACTCGATACCCCCATTTTTTTACATCGGATTTGGACGTTCCGCTTGGACCACCTGGAGCCAAAAGTGGTACGGCTCGAGCCGTACCAGTCGTACCGCTTCCGACGCCCTTGCTTGAGTCGGAGGCTCACTGAAAACAGACTCCTCCCCCCCCCCCCCCCCGAGTTCTGGCAAGTACCCACCCAGCTATCCTTTGACCATGTTGCGAGCACATTGAAGCAATACGCAACACAGCTGAAAATGGCAGTGCAGCTTTTGAAAAGTTAGGTGCCACCCAACTCTTGGGGCCGAGGAAATATAGATGCCGCAGGCACGTGCATTCCGCTCGCCACACTGATTACGAACATCTGACTGTTGGAAGAAATCATAATAATAATTATTATGTTATCGAAGCACAAGTGATTCTCAACTACAGAACAAGAAAATGCTCGCTCCCTGCATCATACTATGAGTGAATAGGCACACAGTGGAATGCTGAACACACACACACACACACACACACACACACACACACACACACACACACACACACACGCGCGCGCACACACACACAAACACACACACGTCACACACACACACACACACACACACACACACACACACGGTTGCATGCGCCTGCCAGGATCGCACTGCAATCAGCGCGGCAACCCTACCTGCACACAAAGTTCTCAAGGAGGTCAGCTACTACACACCTTCAGCCAACGGTTTTAGTCCCGCAATTGCAGCTACGGAACATACATGCACGAGTGGATCTAAAATTTATACCCGCCAACTAGTACAACTAGCCAAAACTATAGTCCGCTGAACATCTATATGTATATGTACACCAGTGGGACATTGAGAATTAGAGGGGCCGGCTGCTCAAAACTCGAACTGCACTGATGAAACGGGCCCCATCTTGGGTCGCAGCAGAACCATTGTCGTCAGTGTCATACACTGGTAGGTGGTGTGTGAAGAGGCATGCACGCACGCACACTGGCTAGCTGCGCTTTCTCAGCGTCTGCAGGTCCCGGCTCTGTGCATTGGCATCGGCGTTACTGGCTACAAGCTGGATGACAAGGAGAACAAGAGTAGCAACACAAACAACGAGCAAACAG